AACCCGCTAGGGTTTCTTCATCTAATTTTCAGCCAGCCACCGCTGTTAGTAAGCAAGATAGAGACAGCTGCTGCCACCTTGCTACCGCCCATCTCCACCCATAGTTTGCCACCAACGCTGCCACCAACCACGCGACGAGTCTCCTGCCATGTCAGAAGCAGATCAACATCACACGCAAAAATCACTTTTTTTTTGTAATGATTCCATTTCAAAAGAAGAAAAAAGCTGTAAAAATTTGGGCTAATAAATACCCGAACCAAAATATGTAAAAAGGGTGGACACCCCTGGATTTTCTAAAGCAATATCAGAAAAATTACAAGCCATTCGAAAGGTTTTTTTTCTATTTTATTTTTTCCTTTTTTATATATGTTCGAAACCAAAAAAATCAGATTATCTTGCATGTTTAAAATAAAACGGAGCGGAGGGTTGAGTGTAGTATCTGGGTTGCAAGGGAACCTTTGCGAAGGTCGGAGGTCGATAAAACCGAACGGTCGGGACTCAGTTAAGGTAGCTTTAAGTTCGATTATGATCATTTTTAGGGAGTTTTAACCCTAGATCTAGGCTTAAGGGACTAGGTCTGAGCTTTTAGGTGGTTTTGGGAGAGTTTGGTGGTTTTCAGCCATTGTGTGCGACAGTCGGGCGACGATCGTTGATGGTTCAGGGTGGCCGGCAGTAGGCTGACTGAAGCTATTGAGAGAGAAAAAAGAAAACTATTTTTAAAGAACAGGGTGAAAATGAATTAAAAAGGTTTAAGTTGTATTTATAGGGTAAGTTATGGGGAAATTGCACTTCGGTCCCCCAACTTACGCGTGTTTTTGCATGATAGTCACTAAGGGGACCGTTTTTGTTATTTTCCCATTTTATATTCATGCCTTAAAATATTTGGTTTAATCATAATTTAGTCCCTTAACTTTTATCGTGTTTTTGCATGTTAGTCACTATAGGGACTATTTCTGTAATTTCCCTTTTTTATGCATGATATTCTATTTATAGCCCCCTGCATTTTTGCATGTTTATACTTCGAACTTGAATATATATTTTTATTTATTTTAATTCGACCACGTAGTTTTAATTTATTTCGATTTAGCCCCTTGCCTTATTTATTTTTCATTATTTGTAATTTTAGCACTTTATATTGTAAATGTTTGTTTTAGTCACTTGTATGTTTTGTTTTGTTTTATTTTAATTGTGGCATGTTAGTGTGATTATTTATGATTTAGTCCTATTTTTATGTTCATTTTTTTAATTTTCGCATGTTGTGTTTGCATTTTAATTCATTTTAGTCCTAATTAATTTCGCATGATATCCTCATAAGCATCACTTGACTCGAATCAAAATAAATTGACTAAGGGTAATATTCGATCATTTTAATATTGTCGTAAAGTGACTGTCTTAACGTATTAGAAAGTTACTTTCGATAATTTTAAAATGAAAGTCTATTCCATTTAGTGACACGAATTGAATCAATTTCATTTATTAAAATTCGGGGATTGAGAAAAAAGACAATGTTCTTTTAATTAAATTCATCGAGAAAAGGATATTAGAACGAATCTAAGGCCTCGTCTCGAGATATTTAAATAATTGAACATCATTATTCTCATTAAATATCGGTAAAATAATTAATTAATTGTGTTTGCTTGATGTATGCTTTTTATTTGTTTTATTTTTGCATTTGTTTCCGATAGATTTTCAAAATAATAACATTCGAATTGACAATGAGAATAGTAATACCCTTTTATTTCGGTCGAAGTAATAAATGACCGCTTTAAGGCATAAGAGGTCATTTATTCTCGATTGAAAATAATTTGATATTGTTGTTTTCTCTCGAATTAATATCGATTTTTTAGACGGAATATTAATATCTCTTTATTTCAATTGGGGTAATAAATGACTGTTTTAATGCACGAAAGGTCATTTATTGTCGATTGGAAATAATTAAATATTATCATTTTCACTCTTAAAATTATTTTGGGTGTTATTATTTTGAATTAATAATGAACTTTAGAATGAAATTTTAATATTTCTTTATTTCGATTGGAGTAAGAATCGATTGCTTCAAGGTATGAGAGATCGATTCTTCTCGATAGGAAATAATTAAATATTATCATGTTTCATCCGAAATTTCAAAGAATATTACTCAGGGGATCTTAAATTAAATTAGACTCGAACTTGTAAATTTTATTGCAAAGACAATTAATTAATCGACTAAGTACCGATTTAGGGCGTTGTGGGGTGCTAATCCTTCCCCACATGTAACCGACTCCTGAACTCAAATTTTGGTAACATAGACCACAAGTTTGTCGTTTTAATTAAAATTAAAATTTTATTAAAATGGCAAATACATTTTGGGTGCCTAATCACATCCTAATCAAAGATTGATGACGACTCCTCGAACTACAATTTTTTCATTAACCAGTCGTTCCAAAAAATTATTTTCGAAACTAGATCCCATTTCTCCAGGAAAAGACCGTTTCGACACTACCCAGGGGGTCTACATCCAGCGGAGCAAGTGGTGGAGAAAGTGATTAGAAGCATGTCGAAGCCGGTTTATCTGCTCAATATAACGACTCTGTCGCAGCTAAGAAAAGATGGGCATCCGTCGGTGTTAGGACATGGCGGGCACAGAGATATGGACTGCAGCCATTGGTGTTTGGCCGGCGTTCCGATACTTGGAACCAACTCCTATAAGCAGCTCTCATTCATGGCTGAAACTCATATTCCAATCTGATTGTCATTATATATTTACTCATGGAAATGATTTGTAATTCAAAATAATATAATCAAAATAAGAATCCTAAGTCTGATTCGATTAAACACCTTATAAACATCAACTTTCATCTCCTTTCGGATATTCGGATCAAATAATAATATTCAATATCGAAAAATATACACCCCTATTGAAGAATATTTAGCTCTAAACCTCTATTTTTTTCCTTGTTTTATTATTATATTAGAACTTAACCCAATGGGGAAAATTAAGGGGTTTAGTCACTAAACAAAGTAGGATTCAATAAATGACTTTGAATTTTCAAATACTATAATTTACCCTGGACACTTCACATTTCTTCCATTCAAGTCCAGATTTCCAAACTTAAATGAGCTGAAGTTCTAATTTTCTTAATCCGAACTTCCAAATATGATTTTGAGGCTTGTTTCAGCTGGTGGCAGTCAAGATTATTGCAACTTCTTTACGTCGAGCCTTCAGGTTAATAGGAGGATACTATGCCCCATTCACATTTGCAACTGGGACGGCATATGAAAAATTCGTTAGTTTTGCTATTGCTCAATCTGATGCAGTTCACCTTCAATCTTGGAAGTGGCCTCACCACAAGCATATGCTCTGGTAATTTTCAGAAGAGTGGTTAGATGATTTTTGTTTGTAAATGCATATATAATATTTTTTTATGAATTTGGGGTGAATATTCAAATTTTTATTAAAATTAAAATTCAATTTTAAAATTGAATGAATAGAAAGTTTAACTATATAAACAAACAAATAGTCTAAATTAAGTGGTACTTATTCCAACTTACCCTTAGGGGCATTTGGATCAAGGAAAATATCATTATCAAGAGAAATAACATTTTTCAGAATCACATACTCACGTTTGGTTCAAAAGTATTATCATCAGGAGGTAATGAAACATTACATACCGTTCTTTTTTTACCTTGTATTCCGAGGAATCCCATTTTCCCCTTTTTTAGGTATTAGATAATTCACTCCACTTTGGACTATAATATCCTTGAATGATATAATTATTTCAAAATGATAAATTCTTTTGTATATAATTACTTGAGTATAAATATATTTTATTTATTTTTAATACTTATTATGAAATAATATGATGCATAAAAAAGTAAAATGTAAAATAAAAATATATCAAATTTTATTTCATTTTGATCATTTTTACGTATGTATTCGAATCAAATTTTATTATATGTTTTATTATATATATTATTTAGGAATAATTTTTATAAAAGATTTTCGCATTATATTTTTTAATATTTTCTATTAATTTTGCAACATAATTTGATATGATTTTTTGTATGATCATACATGTAACATAAATAAAAAAGTGTAGCAATTAACACATACTTACACCGGTGTAAGTATGTAAATTTCTCAACCTAAAAACAAATACATACTTACACCGGTGTAAGTATATAAATCTCTCAATGTTTTAGTATCTAAAAATAAATACAAATTTATATTGGTGTAAATATGTTTTAATATTTTTGAAGAAATAAATAATTAAAAATAAAAAAATATATTAATTTATTTATGTATAAATTTTATTAAAAATATTAAAATTAGAAATAACAAAAAATTATATTTTCTTCGAACTTTCATGTAAATGTGTTGACTCTAATATTGTGAATTCTATTTATTGAAAAAATATTTCAAAGATAATTTGGTAAAATATATTTTTTATATTATATTCCTTTAACTAGACACTATAATATTATATTCCTTTAAACAAACACTATAATATTATATTTCTTTAACCAAACACTATAATCTTATATTCTTATTAAACAAATTTAACAAAGTAATTCAACATTCTTAATAATATGTTAAATAATATAAAATTTCAGTAATCTCATTTCTCTTACGTTCCATGAATAGAGGATGTCTCCCGTACGGAAGTTTAATATACGGCAAAAGAAATACGTTATCGAAAATGTTATTAATTGTTTAATATTTATAATAAAGCGCTACTTAAAACATTATTTTTTTTACAGAAAATGTTAATATTAGGCGCTACCTAAAATGTTATTTTTTTCTACTAGTTTTTTTACCGGAAGTTAGGTAGTAAAATTAATATTTTTATTAAAAAAATAATGTTTTAAGTAGCGTTTTATTAAAAATATTAAAAATTTAATAATATTTCTGATAACTACCATGATACCATCTTATCACAATCATATGCCACCACCCAGCGACCAACAAGGCCGCCGCAAAAGTTAAAATAAGTTTGCAATTTGCAAAGCAAAGAACAAAATCTGGAACTGAAACAAAAGAAAAGCTCCTTTGAAAGAACAAAATTTCCAAGATTTTAAATTCAAGGAACTGCTCACTTTCATCAATATCATCATTTCTACTCTTACCCATTTGATTTCAGGTAACACTTACCAAATAATATATGTCTAATTCTTTTTTAATCTATTGTTTTTCGACCAAACCCTTATCTAGGGCATTTTTTAGATTTGTTTGTGACCCACCATCGGTAGTTTCATGTAAGTAGGTTTTTTTTACTTTCTGGAAAATTGTTGGCTAAATGGGTTCTCTTTATTTTTTCGATTAGTTTATCAGAACCTGTGCTTTCCTCCCTTGTTTTTGTTAAGAATCCTTTGAGATTGTTAAGAACATTTATTTAAGTTAGATTCATCGTATTTCTAAATCGGTTGTCCTTTTTAATTTAATTCAAATTTTAATTGTACATAAATAGAATTCCCTTTTCCTTTTATATGTTTTCAGTTACATTTGCCGATTTTGTTTCGTCAAGGGCTTTCTATTCTTTGTAGTCTCTAATTGTTGGGCTCCAAGATTTCCATTTGTAGATATGTATTGCAAAATTTGTGTAAATTTTACTATTTTCTGTAATCTGAAGGAAAATGTTGATCATTTCGTTTCTGCAGAAACTTAAGCCGCTGCCGATGCCGATGCGCCTTTGTTGAGGTAAATGATATTGATTTCGCAATGGATGAATTACCAGAGCACTTGGTTTCAGAAATTTTAGGCAGGATTAGGAAAACTGAGGACAGGAACTCTGTTTCATTAGCGTGTAAACGTCTTTACGAAATGGATAACGAACAGAGAATTTCGCTTCGAGTTGGGCGTGGATTACATCCTGCAAATGAAGCTTTGGCTTCCCTTTGCAATAGGTTTCCCAACTTAACAAAAGTCGAAATCACTTACTCTGGCTGGATGTCCAAACTCGGCAAACAAATGGATGACCAAGGGCTCTCAATTCTTGCTGGCTACTGCCCTTTACTAAGTGATCTCACTTTAAGCTATTGCTTGTCTGTCACTGATATCGGCCTTCGTTACTTGGCTTCTTGCTCGAAGATTTCAGCTCTGAAGCTGAACTTTACCCCACAAATTACGGGTTGTGGCATACTGTCCCTTGTTGTAGGCTGCAAAGGCCTCACCATTCTCCATCTTATTCACTGCCTGAATGTTAATAGTGTAGAGTGGTTAGAATATCTTGGCAAGCTTGAAACACTTGAAGATCTGTCTATTATAAATTGTAGAGCGATTGGGGAAGGTGATTTGATAAAGCTAGGACCGAGTTGGAAAAAGCTAAAATGGTTTCAATTTGAGGTGGATTCTAACTACCGTTACCTACAAGTTTACGACCAATTGGCTGTAGAACGATGGCAAAGACAGTGGATTCCTTGTGAAAATATGCAGGAGCTTAGGTTGGTCAATTGCATCATCAGCCCTGGAAGAGGGCTGGCTTGCGTATTAGGGAAGTGCCGAAACTTGGAGAAAATTCACTTGGACATGTGCATTGGATTAAGAGACTCGGACATTGTAAGCTTAGCACAAAAGTCTAGTAATCTTGTGTCGATATCGCTCCGTGTTCCTTCTGATTTCTCACAGCCTTTATTGATGAACAATCCATTAACATTAACTGATGAGAGTCTAAAAGCTATTGCTCAGAACTGTTTGATGCTTGAAATGTTGAGGATATCTTTCTCTGATGGAGAGTTTGCTTCATTTTCATCATTTACTTTGAATGGAATTCTTAGTGTGATCCAAAATTGCCCGGTTCGGGAACTTGCTCTTGACCATGTCTATTCCTTTACTGATATTGGGATGGAAGCTTTATGCTCAGCTCAGCATTTAGAAACCCTGGAGCTTGCGAGATGCCAAGAAATAAGCGATGAGGGGTTGCAGCTAGTGAGTTGGTTTCCCCGTCTCCGTGTTTTGCGGCTGAGAAAATGTTTGGGGATTACAGATGATGGATTCATAACTCTTGTTGGTTCATACAAATTGGATTTATTGGCTGTTGAGGATTGTCCTCAAATTTCTGAAAGAGCAATCTACGGTGCTGCTAGATCGATATCATTTCGGCAAGATTTGTCATGGATGTATTGAACTTGGTAAGTATAATTATCTGGTTTCTTTTGGTTTTGCCTTCTGGTTTTTTATTTCATCGAACATTTCTAGATGTTGTTGCATCTAATTCTTGTATTATCTTTACATGAAACAGTTGATAATAACAATGCATACAAGTTCAAGGGTTCATAGTTTCTTGAAGCTTGGCTAGCCCAGAAACATGCTATTGTAATTTTCTTTCGTAGCCTTCCGCTTTACACACTCAATATCAGATAAAATCTGCTATCGGGCTAGCCTTCGTGGTAGATTTCATAATAAGCTTCAAAGAATCCAACTTCGAGACCAACCATGTGGTATGATGTAACTTGTATTACCCGAACTTTCGGATTACTTTGACTCAACATTTTTCGATTAGCGACTACTTGACTCAACCTTGAGTGAACTTTTTGGCTGAAGTAATAAATTACTAGTAATCATCGATTGGATTGTCAAGCTTTGTCGACTAAAGGATCAACCCCTTGTGGGTGGCATTAAAATTGGAGTATTGGAAAAGTATTGCTTGACCATATCAAAAGCCATTAGACATCCATAGTCTTGTACTTTTGGACCATTCTTTCTAAGAAGTCACAAAATAGGATCATATTCTCAATTAACTGTAAGAAAAATTGAAGTAATTCAACCCACAAACTTTATTTTGATTATGAGGGACGGTATATCCTGGATGGCCTTGACTTTGTCAGGGTCAAATTCAATATCTCTTATACTGACAATAAAATTTAGTAGTTTTTTAAATGTCACTCTAAAAAGTGGACTTGGTTAGATTGAATTTCGATCGGATCCTTCTTGAACTTTTGAAAAGCTTCCTCAAGTTTTCAATATTTTCTCATTCCATTTAAGGATTGGGGATCATGTTATAGCAACATGGACTTTAAATTCTTTTTCGTTAGCACAACTATTTTATTTTGATATAGCCCACCAGCATCCGATCTATTGATCGACTAATCTGGATCAGGTACTGCAGAGGCAAAAACGACCCTCCCAACCTAGTTTGCTACATTCACAAGCGTTATGATTTGAACCCTTAACCTTACTTGAGAAATCTAGTACTTCATCCCACTAGACCAACTGGTTGTTAAGCTATTTTATTATTATTAAAATGCCGCTTGATAGTGGATAACAAGCCCTAAATAAGAGGAAATCAAAAATATTGAACACCCTAAAATGGAAACGCCAAAACACCCTAAAATGGAAACAAACCAGATATAAAGCCCCCATGGCCGAACAGGAGACATGCAAACTATTGACTCAAAAACAAACAAAAAACCCACTACACTTAACGATCCCAAAAAATGACAATCACCCTAGATCCTCATTAATAAAATAAACCAATCAAAATCAGAAAGCTAATGGCTTCTAAACATCTGTAACAAATCCAAATTGACTAAACACGTTGAAAGCGAGCTACATCCATATCTAAGCACACCTCAAGACAACATAGACTGAATGAAACCTGAGCACAATTAATGAAAATAATAAAACAGGACGATAATGCACCAAATCAATATAATAAACACTCTACTTTGACATTTACTAGTCCAAGGAAACAAAATGGAACAGCTTTTACGCCATCATGAAATAAGGCTGCTATAGCTTTCTGGTATATTGCCCGACTTATTTATTCCAAACGGAATCACTTAATAACAGAACATGCCCAACATTACCACAATTTGATTTGATGCACCTTTGTCCGACTGTACCCTAAAAATTCATCCTTGAAGGGATATTGAGAATAACCAACAATATTATCCACCCTTGTATCATATTTTAGACTGGCTTTATTAAGGTCCCCGTGGTCTATGAACATGCACACTTTTTAACTTTCTCCGAGATCGACACAATATTGGTCATCCATATACTTGAATATCTAAAATAATTCTACATCAAAATGCTTTTTTATTTCATATTCAAAAGTCTTTCAAACGTCATTCTTCTAAAGTTCTGATGTATAGGCTCGCATTCTAACTTTGAAATCAACTTTTAATAGGCAAGAATCCAATCTTGACATAACTCGTTACCATCAAGTAAACACATCTTTATATTATCGGAGCAAATCAATCAGGCTCTAATGTGCTTTTGAATAAAGAGTGGTGTCAATCTTTATTTCTTTCTTTTCTTTCTCAGTGCCTAAATTTAGGGTTTAAATTATCTCTTTATGAGGCATAACATTATGATCAAACTTGGAAGAAAGAACGATACAGAAATTGAGAGAATTAGATGAGGAAAAACGAGACTTAGATTTCAAAGATGGAAATAAATACAGATTTTTCAATGCCCCAGGGTTTACACACTTTATTTATATTCTATTTCCTAGGATAGGACAAAATCTGTTAGGGAGGTCGGAATTCTTCTTTCCCTCTTGCTCCTGCGTGGCTCCACCTGTCCTGCATTCTCGGTAACAGTTGTGACAATATCCCCGCCTGGAGAAGAAACCTTGTCCTCAAGGTTTGAAGTACCAGAGGTAATCGAAATGTTCTCACGCATCAGCGGCAAAGGTGTGATTTGCTCTAGTGGTTGTCCAGTGCAAGGCTTGAGTTGAGAAATATGGAAGACTGGATGGATCCTTGTCGAGCTTGACAAGTCAAGCTTTTAAGCAACTGACCCAATTCGTTGGAGAACCTGGTAAGGACCAAATAAGAGAGGCCCGAGTTTCTGATGACTCCGCAGTCGCAAAGATAATTGTCGATAAGGATGTAATTTCACAAACGCCTAACTGCCAACAGCCAATTCCAAATCACGACAGTGCCTGTCAGCCAGGATCTTCATTCGAGTTTGAGCCTTTATCAAATTGTGTTTCAAGAGTTGCAAAAGTTCGTCTCTTTCCAAGATGTCCTGAGCGAGTTGCCCGCTGGAAGAACTACCTTTCAATGTAAGAATGATAGGGGGTTCGTGACCATACAACGCCTGAAAAGGTGTCATGCCTGCAGACGTCTGAAACACCATATTATACCAATACTCCATCCAAGCTAAATTTTTTCCCATTTACTAGGATCATCCCCCGTCATGCAGCGTAAATAATTTCTAGGCAACAATTTAACGCTTTTGTTTGGCCATCGAATTGGGGGTGGTATGCAGAACTGAAACATAACTCCGTTCCTTGTAATTTGGCCAATTCTGTCTAGAATTCACTTAGAAAAATGCGATCTCCGTCACAATGGTATGTGGAATACCATGTAATTTGAACACTCCTTGCATAAAGACACGATCAATATAGGCACTATCAAAATGGCGAGGCAAAGCAAAAAATGATCATATTTTGTAAGTCGATCCACGACCACCAAAATAGCTTCTTTACCATTAGACATAGGCAACCCCACAATGAAATCCATATATATATCTTCAAATACTTGGGTAGGACTAGGAAGAGGTTAAAGCAAACCTGCCACTGACAAACTGTCACTCTCAATACATTGACATTCTTGACAATTGAGGACAAAACAGCAAACATCCGTACGCATTCCTTTCTAATAAAACCCAGCAGCAAGGCGATGGAAGGTTCATGTAATCCCGACACGACCCCCAAAATGGAACTGTGAAATTCACACAAAAGCAATGTGTGTAAGGCTGTCTCGTTAGGAACTAGAACACGACCTTGAAATAAAATTAAGCCATCCCTGTCATCATATCCAACTAACTCAGTGGAACCATGTTGTAAACCGGATCGAAGCAATGAATTCCTCATTGAATTGCTTCAATAATGCCCAAAACAGGCCGAACCATGAAACTAACCAAAATTTGCGCGATAAAGCATCTGCGACGATATTATGTTTTCCCGGACAATAGTGGATGTCGAAATCATAACCCATCAATTTGGAGAGCCATCGTTGTTGTTCCGGTGTCTGTATGGTCTGCTGGTTTAATTCGCTCGTTGGTCCGTAAGGTACTGAATTTACTGCCCACCAAATATTAGCGTCATTTGCCAACAGCTTGTGTTCTCGTGTACATCTCGCGAGAATAGGTCGAGGAATTCTGCAAGCGAAGGAATAATTTCTGACAAACAGGCTAATGGTTTACGCTCTTGAGTAAACACAGCCCCAATGCTGGTGCCTGACGCGTCTATAATTCCTTATCGAACTGAGGCAGAGCCAGCACCGGTGCGGAGCAAAGACACATTTTAGGGAGTTCCAGGGCTGTTTGAGCCGCAGGAGTCCACTCGAAAAACTGACCCTTGACAAATCCGAGATCGGAGCAGCTATGGAGGCGAAACCTTTTATAAATAATTGATAGTACCCTGCGATACTGAGAAAGCTACGACCTCCCGGATTGTTGTAGGGGTAGGCCAATCACGCATCGCCTCGATCTTGGTCGGGTTAACGACCAATCCCTTGAAAAAATATGCCCCAACTGAAGGTTGCCCAAATGCGCATTTGCTTCGATTAGCAAAAAAACCAATCTCTTGCAATCGTGAAAGGACTTGCCGAACATGCTCCAAATGGTCCTGCCAAGAATGACTGTAAACGAGTATATCATCGAGAAATATCAATACGCATTTTCGTAAAAAGGAGCGAAAAATATCATTCATTGTAGCTTAAAAAGTAGATGAAGCATTGGTCAAGCCGAAGGGCATGACGAGAAATTCTCGCCTCCGTGTGTGCGAAATTTGTTTTGTGAACATCAGCATCCTAAACTCGAATTTGGTAGTAGTCGGCAAGCAAATCAAGCTTCGAGAAAAAAATAAGAGTTGTCCAACTCGTCAAACAATTCATCGGCCGTTGGAATATGAAATTTATCCTTGACTGAAACAGCGTTCATTGCTCGTTAATCCACACAAAATTGCCACGTGCCATCATTTTTTTTTGTGAAGAGGACTGGGGAAGAAAACAGACTAGTGCTCTAATAGATTAAGTTCTGATCCAACATCTGTTGAAGTTGGCGTTCGACCTCCCATTTTTGGAAATAGGGATAACGATAAGGGAGAACGTTGACTAGCTTCGAATCGAGTTGAAGATGTATGGCATGGTCATTTTGTCAAGTAGGTGCAAGGCCCTGAGGGGGAACGAACATTGAGCCAAACTCATCCAAGAGAGCTGCCATGTCAA